TCACACCGTTGCCCGCTATGAGTCTTTTCTAAGGCCGCCCTTGCGGGCCCGCCTCAGTATATATATGAGTCGGATGACACAAGGAGGTATCAGATCAGTCTAGATGGAGGCCAATGAGCCTCTCCATGACCTCAGATGGAACTAAGATGCAGGCTCACCTCGTTCACTCCTCATAGCGTTGCACGTTATGAGTTTTTTCTAAGGCGGGCCCTGCGGGCCCGCCTCAGTATATATATGAGTCGGATGACACAAGGAGGTATCAGATCAGTCTAGATGGAGGCCAATGAGCCTCTGATTAGTGTGGCGTGCAACAGTACAACCTCTTGCGCTGGTACGAGCAATGGTGATAATTACAGTGGGGGTCCATCAAGTTTAGTAACCCTCAAGCCAGAGGAGAACATGTGTGAGCAGTCCCAATTGTCAGCTGCGACAGAATCGGCCATCTGGCACCTTCGGCTCGGACATCTGGAAGCAAAGATTCAAAAATTACTAGCCGATTCGGTGAAGTATATCACGTACAACAGGCGCCTAAAGAAATCTCCTTGTCACATCTGTAGAATAGCAAAGTTCGTCTCACGGCCGATCCATCGACAGTCGGATTTCCGACAGGAGCGGGCATCAGAGGTCAATCAAGTCTGGCATATTGATTTGAAAGACATGATTGTACAATCCGAGCCTGGTGGTTATAGATATTTCTTGATCATTGTGGACGTCTTTTCTGGATTTGTGCGAGTACGACCTATGCGCACGAAAAGTCAGACGGCTGCTATCCTCATGGAAATACTGTTACAAGAGGATCGTGACAGCTCTCGTCCTAAGGTACAGAAGATTGTATCTGACAACGGTTCAGAATTCAGCTCTGTGGAGCTGGAGAGCTTTTTCGTTGATCGTGGGATACGACATGACAAAATTCCAGAGTACTCTCAGGTCTACAATGCGTTCGCTGAACGTGGAATCAGAAGCGTGACGTCGATTAATCGGACGTTATTGCGTCAGAGCGGTGTACCGAAGTCGAAGTGGGAATACTGTTAGGGGTTACGTAAGCGGTTACGAATACTTCAGTCAACTAGCTGTCTTATCCGGTCGGTTTGGTTGGTTTGGTAGGTTTTGGTCGAATAAAATGGATCCGAACTTTCTATACGTTCAGTGAGCGCGATTGTGTTGAGGTTCCTGTTCGCTTGTTAACGCAAGTTATCAAGTTGGTTCAAGTTCACAGAGTCAAAGCACATCATCAGGATTGTCAATCCCTAACATTGGTAGCGTAAGGTTTGGTTTTTGTTCGAAGTAATTGCGGATTGCGACAATTTGATTTGATTTGATCGACAAGGAGCTTGAAAGGTAACCTCTGGATATGCAATCGGATGTAGAAAGGATAAGAAGGTCTCCTGGAGATGGTCCTCTTGGAAGTTCAGGCTTGGCAGTCATGCTTGACAACTTTAGAAGGAGTTTCGATGAGGAAACGTCTGAAGACAAGACGATGAGGGAAGTTACGACGGTACCTTCTACCTCAGAAGAGGATTCGAACGGAAATCAGCGAGACGTCGCGGGATTTTCGAGGATTAATATACCTTCTTATGATGGATCGGTCACGCAACAAGTGCGCGACAGGGAGGGCGCAGTGGACTTGGAAATTTCCAGGATTGCGTCTCCGGCAGGTTCGACCCGGCCGAGGTTCGAATCAGTGCAGTTTGAAGAATTGGTCGCTGCAAACAAGAAGTTGCGAGAAGAATTGCAACTCGCAATGGACATGCAAGTAAAGTATGAAGCTTTCGTCAAGGAAGTGATGTTTCGTAAGGAAAGAGAGCTCGTCGAGACAAAACAGGAAATCTCTGTCCTTAGGGAAGAAAATAAAAAAAATGTTCGAGGAAATGATGCAACGGTTCAGATTAAATGAATCAGGAGCAGTTCAATACCTTCCGATCAAGGAACCAAGAGGGGCTGATGCAACGTGCAAGCAAAATGATACGAGCATGTCGAATGACATGTCAAGTCAGCATGTCAAGCAGCAGTCTTCCCTTGTGAAGTTTCATTCCAAGGATATTTCTCGATTTAATGGAGAAATGACTCTAGAATATTCCGTTGCAAGTTGGTTTGGGGAGCTTGAGTTTCAATTCCAGCGTCAAAGAATTCCTCCAGATCAAAAGGTTGACATCGCTGCAACATTAGTTGGTAATCGTGTGAGGAATTGGTTGCAAACATTGCGTGGCGAGGATAGATTAATTTCCACACAAGGTACTTGGGAATCATTCAAATCGTTGCTGGTGAAGGAATATTTGTCGTTGTCGCACTTGCAGTATATTCTGGGTGAGATTCAACGTACGATACAAGGGTCAGAGGAAAAGACTTCGGATTTTGTCAACAGGTTTTCAGCTTTAGCAAATCATTTTATTGCTTGTTGCATGGTATTATTTCATGGACAAGGACAAGTCGAGACAGCTTGCACGAGGTTTGGTCTTGAACGGTATTTCGCACAGAATTTGTTCGATGAGGTGACCGCGAGTTTCGTCATGAAGTTGTTGATTGACTTGGAAAAGCAAAATGTGAACAAGACTTTGAGTATTGGGAGTTTGTTGCCAGCATTGTATCGAGAAGCTAAGTCCATGGATTTGACAACCGATGCGTATAGGAATGACAGGTCAACGCATCATGAGGTTTCGTACGATGATGAGTCAGTGGAGGATACCGACGAAGATTCTCAGCATTCATCTTCGACTCAGGATGAGCAGGACTTACGTGAATAACATTGGCCCAATGCACTTCGCGCTACTCAATTGAAATGACTTGAGTTGGCTGCCGTTTTCTTGTTATGCAGTATTTTAATGATCAGCGAAGTTCATAGAGATGTTTCTCAGATGATAATGCGCTTGGGAGCGTATGTTAGGGGTTACGTAAGCGGTTACGAATACTTCAGTCAACTAGCTGTCTTATCCGGTCGGTTTGGTTGGTTTGGTAGGTTTTGGTCGAATAAAATGGATCCGAACTTTCTATACGTTCAGTGAGCGCGATTGTGTTGAGGTTCCTGTTCGCTTGTTAACGCAAGTTATCAAGTTGGTTCAAGTTCACAGAGTCAAAGCACATCATCAGGATTGTCAATCCCTAACAAATACTCTATCATGCAAGCTGTTATTTTGTACAATGTGCTGCCTAGTGGACGAAATCTAGGGTATTCCTCACCATACTTGATATATACAACCGAGCAGTTTGACTTTCGCAAGCTGAAGGTGTTTGGGTGCAGCACTTTCTTCAAGAATGAACTACGCACGTCAAAGGTGGATGACCCAGCAATTCATGGTTTAAATCTGGGAAACGCGTGCGCTTTCTCTGGATATAAGGTGGGGTATTTGGTTTGGGATATCGAGCATGATAGAATCGTCCATACGAATAATCTTACGTTTGACGAGCTGTATTTTCCATTACGTTGCCGACGTTTTCAGGCGTCTAATGTGGAGGATGAATTTTTGAAGGAACTAGTACCTTGTGCACCAGTGGCATCTGACGATGACGAAGAATCCTCGGAAAATGCGAGTGAAACAGAATTGCAAATTCCTGAGGAAGTTGCAACGTCTGGCAGGAAGCGACAGGGAGACTCTGGTCCTGACGCAAGTGAAGTTTCCGCGAGCAAGCGCCTCCAATTGGAATTTCCACCTTCCACGGTCCAAGGCCTGACATCTGGAGATCAACGGGAGGATACAGGAGAGCATCGGTTGGGGGATGATACCGAATATGTGCCTGACGGTGCAGTGTCTCCAGTTCCTCCAGCAGGCCGAAGAACACGGAGGGATTTTAAGGAGGAGCGTGGGGTCTTGGAAAGCAAATATGTCAATCGAGATGTCGAAGTTCTTGTAAATGGTCAAGTAGAGCAAGGCAAAATTCTGCAGATAGTTTTCAAGGAGGGAAAGTTTCTCGCGCGGATTGTTTTCCCAACTCTCGACAATTACTGGGTGTTACGGTCTGTCACTGATCCTGACATCAAGTTTTTGGAACGAACCGAACAGAAAGCAATGGTGGTGCTTACAAGTGGGGAGACAATGTCGGAGGTCTGCATGTTAGCAGATTATTATTCGTGCAGTTTTCCACCGAACGTCTTTGGTGATATGTCCGACCATACCAAAGTACCTTGACCGGGCAGCGGATGAGATCATGGATGTTGTCGAAGCTACAGTGGGTGGATCACCTGAAGTTGTTGTACTCTCACAGCACAAGCAATTTCCGCAGTACCTGCATGTAACAAATATAGTGCACGGGTCGACTGAGTCTGAAGAAATCTTGTATGTTTGGGACAGGGCGGATGATAACATGAAAGGCAGTCAGCCAGTATGCCCGCGTTTTGTTCCAGTATGGAGGGATGAGATGTACAAAACTCGTTTACAGCATGTCGATCCTGTGTCATCTGCCCCACAGGTCAGTGCTGATGTGGACTCTACTTTCAGAGATACGCGTCTTCTTGTGGCGAATCTAGCGTTGGTCTCTCCCGTATGGGACGCGGTGGAGCTGGCGTCTGACTTGTTATCTCTGATGTCTTCCGACCGTGACAATCCAGCTGCAATGCCTGAGATTCAGGCAGATTACGCAATGACAGCGGCCTGCGATGCAGGAAATGTGGAGAACGAAAGTAGTTTTGACAAGTTACCAGATCCCAAGACAAGGTCAGAGATGTTACGTCGTCCGGATCGGCATCTTTGGGAGCAGGCTGAAAAGGAGGAAATTGCGAAGATCGAAAGTCGAGGCGTCTGGGTAGTTGTTACGCGTGATCAGAAAAACAGGGAGTCAAATCATTCTGTCCTTGCTCGCGGCTTGTGGGTGTATGCCTCAAAACGAGACTTGAAGGGCAAGATCTTGAAACGAAAGGGGCGGCTAGTTATCATGGGCAACTTACTCCCTTCATCTGAAGAATTGTTTGCACCGACTACATCGTTGGACAATATCCGGCTCTTGCTGAGCATCGCGGTTGATACCTCCAGATATCATGAGTCTTCTTCCTGAGTGCCTCCTCAAAGTCTTGAAGTCGCTCTATGGACTTCGCATTGCACCAAGGAGATGGTATCTTAAGTTCACGCAGGTGTTGAAGACGGTGGGAGCAAGTGGGATAGGACATGATGAGATCATCTACCGATACTCCAACTGTGCGGGGGACGTCTTGCTTCTGACTGTCTTCGTGGATGACTTACTCATTGTCTCTCAAACTGAAGCAGTTAAGATTGAGTTTCTTGAGAAGCTCAACACAGTATTCGACTTTTCGGGGAGTGAGGCAACAGGTACCTTCTTGGGCATTCACATAGAACAGAATGACGATCAGGGTCGGATAACTTTGTCACAACAGCATTTCATTGAAAAGATTGTTGAACGCTTTGAAATAGTTGCCAGGGGCGTCAAAACGGTATTACCTGGTCACTATCTCAAGACTTATCACTTGGAGGGTAAGTTGTTGAACAAGAAGGAAGTCCGCACTTATCAGAGTCTCCTGGGGTCCATTCTCTACGTGGCAAATTGTACGCGGGTTGATATCGCATTCGCAACGAGCGTCCTTAGTCGCTTTGCTCGTGCTCCTCGGCAGTGCGATATGGATGCCTTAATTCATCTTCTACACTTCTACAGTACCTTTACACTACTCGGGAGGTTCAGATTGTATACCATTGTCACGGTGTCTCTTACCACCAGGAGTGTTTTGTCAATGAGATGATTGCATTCAGTGATGCTGGTTGGGGTACCGAGATTATCACGAGACGGAGTCAAAGCGGATATGGAATCGTTCTGAATGGTGGGGTAGTCGTCTTTGGATCCAAAATGCAGAAGGTTGTTGCCCTGAGTTCTTCAGAAGCTGAAATTTATGCTGCCACCACATGCGCAAAACTAGTCAAGCTTTATAGAAATCTCTTGGGTCAGATGGGATTTATGCAGACTCGTCCTACTCTCTTGCTAATCGACAATGAACCATGTCTGAGGCTTTTGTGGGACAAGCGAAGTTATAGTCGACTCAAGCACATTGATATTCGAACGAAGTATGCTGTTGATTTGGTAGAAAAGGACGAGCTCTATCCAGAAAAGATTCATACTTCTTATCAGCCTGGTGATTTGCTGACGAAAGTTCTGCCTTTGAATCGGTGGAGGCTCATTGGTGAATTTCTTTTCGGAGGCCCCTTACCTGATATGCTGCTCTGAGGATGCTCGCCTGTCATGCTCTCTGCGCTTCTGTCGGGGACAGTGCTACTCTGTTCCCATGCCGTCAGTCAAAGTTGTATGCCCCGTGTGTGGTTGACGGTGATCCGAGCTCCAGCCTCCGACAGGGAGATCGTGCTGCCACCTTCCATCTGAGGAGCCCCACCGCAAACATACCCCCAGATCCCCTCCCACCTTCCATCTGAGGTCATGGAGAGGCTCATTGGCCTCCATCTAGACTGATCTGATACCTCCTTGTGTCATCCGACTCATATATATACTGAGGCGGGCCCGCAGGGCCCGCCTTAGAAAAAACTCATAACGTCGGGAGCCCCACCGCAAACATACCCCCAGATCCCCTCCCACCTTCCATCTGAGGTCATGGAGAGGCTCATTGGCCTCCATCTAGACTGATCTGATACCTCCTTGTGTCATCCGACTCATATATATACTGAGGCGGGCCCGCAGGGCCCGCCTTAGAAAAAACTCATAACGTCGGGAGCCCCACCGCAAACATACCCCCATACGGTTTATCTCTCGTTCCAGCTCATGGCCTGCTCCTTCCATTGCTCTTTCAACACTTACTTCTTTACGGACGATCAGTGCAAGCAGTGCAACGCTTCCTGCGCACTGGGGACGCAGTTCCAGGGGTGCAACCCGGACGGGACGCCGATCTGTACGACCTGCACTCAGAGCCTGCCGGTTCATTCCGAGTGGGAGAAGAACCTCTGTGTTCACAAGTGTGATCCGGGGTACTACGCCTTCAATTCTTCCCTCTGCCTCCCTTGTGATACGTCGCCGTGCCCCGTGGGAGAGTACAGGGATACGTGCCAGGCGGTGGTCGGGGCGGTATGCCAGCAGTGTACCACCAAGAGGTCTACGATGGGGGCCTACCAGAGCTACGAGGCTTTCATCACACCGGGCGTTCCGTTCGACGTTGATAATTGCAAGACAGAGTGTGTTGCAGGCGCTTTCCGCCATGGCCCGAACTGCTTCCCCTGCCGGCAGGCCCCCTTCGCTTCCTGGGAGCTTCTCGACCCCGTGCCGCACTGGACGTTGGCTTGCACCCGGGTTCAGGATGCCAAGGCGATGCCCTGCACGAGTTTGAAGAATGGGAGGTACACGGGTTACGCGACGGCCCTGGACCGGGATTGTCCAGCGGTATGCAACCCGGGGTATTACCTGGAACGGGTGCCGACAGGGTTCCAGGTGCCCTATTGGGAGCTCGGGACTCAGCCGGGCAACCAGACGTCGATGACAGTGTATGTGAATATTTCGAGGTGCATCCCCTGCATGTCATCGCCGCTCACCAACGGTGCATACACGGACGCTTGCAATTACGTCTGTGACAAGGATTATGTGAAGGACCCCAACGCTTCGATGCCCTACCGTTGCCTCTACTGTCCCGGGCAGGCCTGCAGCAGCGGGGAGTACCAGAGTGGATGCGGGGCTTCGGCCGCCTGCAAGGCGTGCGACCCACTGTCAGACCCTCATCGGACCTACACCGGGCAGGGGTATTACATGGACCCCGCATCTTGCCCTGAGCAGTGTGCGAGCGGGTACTGGGCCGCTTCCACCGCTGTGAACTGCACGGCCTGCACGGCAGAAGCCTCGCTGAACTGCTCGCTTGCCACCCACTTTGTCAGGAGGTGCGCGCCAACGTCCGACGCCAAGTGTCTGCCCTGCACCGCCTCATGCGATCGCAAATCTGCAGTGTGCCCGCTGCCTCAACCCATTGCCTACCAACGCGCGGTTCCAGTCCGAGTGCCAGTTCCAGTGCTTCGCGGACTATGTGCAGTATAACTCAACATACTGTGGATATTGCAACCCGAACCGGGTCTGTGGTGTCGGCACTTACATGGACGCTTGCCAGAGCTCGAATGGCTTTACTGGATGTTCCCCTTGCAGGAATGGCCTTGCGCAGAACAGCACGGTGATCTACATGACGGCGGGCGACCCGTACTCGCCCTACTCCTGCTCGTGGAAGTGCGCCACGGGTTACACCCTCGGTCGGAACTCGAGCGGTGGTCTGGCCTGCCTTCCACCGGTGAACTATATCATGCCGACGCCCGCCCCCCTCCAGACGCCGTCATCCTACTGCCCCCCAGGCCAGTTCCTGACGAACCAGCTCACCTGCCAGGCCTGCAGTGACGTGCTTCCATCCAAGTACGCGACTTGGACAACGGGATGCAGCTGGATATGCACCGGCGGTCGCATCGCCGTGCAGCATCCCATCCAGAAGTGGTACACCTGCATGCTGTACTCGGATTACCAGGCAATTGCTCTCAATCCAAGGCGCGTGATGGTCCAGAGCCCCTTCAACGACACCTACAGGCCTCACGTGGTCGGGTACAGCCAGCAGGCCTCTGGGATTGCCGCGGCGGGGTTTGCCTGCATCGTGGGCTTCATCGGCATGGGGCTCCTTTGTTGTAGGTACAAGTGATGGTGAGGATCCGATATAAACATAGACCCCTGTGTATTGGGTATGATGTCGAACGGGAAGAGGAATCTGGCGAGGGTGTGGTCGGATGTCGCGATGGGCGAGCTCTCCGTGCTGACCTGCCTCTGTGGGCTTGCCTTCATCATGCAGTACAGCGTCTTTTTCATGCTCATGTTCAAACAGCCGGGCATCAGGGACTTCAACGCCCCGTACTGTGAATCTCTCCATTATATCAGCGACAAGCTCGCGATGGACAAGGGTGTGGCGAGCCTTATGGTGATCAGCGGCGTGCTCTCGTGGGTGGTGATTGGGGTTATCAGCGCGAGGCAAGACACATGGGTGAACCGCGGTATATTCGGCTGGTTGGCCACGGTGGGGTATGCGGGAACAGTGGCCGTGGTCCTTTTCAACAACACCAGCAACAACGGGGATATTCATCTTGCCGGGGCGGGTGTGTTGGCTGTGTCGTACATTATTGCACAGATCATACTGAGCCTGATCTACTTCGCCGAGAAGTCCATATCGAAGATCAGCAAGTGGTCCGCCCTAGCGTTGAGCTTTGCCTGCCTTTGCTTCCTTCTCGCGTACATTATCGTTTACTTCACTATGGTCTACTTGAATTCGCCCTGTCGGAGCACCGTGGTGATACTCGAGTACGTGGTCTACCTGATCACTTCGTTGAACAATGTCATTGTCTATGTCGCATTCACGGCTAACCATACCCGCAAGAAAATAGACTTCTATGACAGGAGGAATGGCAATATTGGCATGGATTTTGTCCCTGTTGTGCATCCCAAGGTGGAACTAGAAAGGCTCATTTACTGATAGATGATTATAAGAGCGGTACGGAACACCGTTGAGCAAAGCGACGGCGAGGTGGGTCATTGCCATGATTGCCCTTCTATCGTATGCAATACCTGTTTTCCTTGTCAGTATGGGATCAGTGTCCCTCATCATATGCGTGCAGGCGATCAGGCTCATGATACCTTTCGTTGAAGATCGTGACGAGCTCCTGACCGATCAGAAGGAGCTGCCATCCTGGCCCGTGTTCTCGGCCGGCGGTTGTGCCATCGATATTGGAGTTATCGGTTCGTCTAAGGATGAGATGCTTATTACATCGGTCGATTCACCTGCATGCGTGAGGGATGACACCGTCGCGGATGTTTCGGAAACGGGAGGTTCGCAGTTCGAAGACGCGTTGGAGCCCTGATCGGTGAATGAAAAATCCATCGTCTGCTCGTGTGTGACCGTGTCACGATCGCTCATATCCTCCACGCTGCTGATGTCATCATCCGCCTCGACCCCACCGCCATCGTCATCCTCTACCACTTCTCCTTGGAGATCATCCTCGCTCTCTTCGGAATTCTGGTCGTACCGGAAGAATCCGCCCCCCTTCTTACCCGGGTAGTAGTCTGAGTCGTAACTCGCTTCGCTGATTCCTTCCTCCTCATCCTCCTCCTCCTCCTCCTCTTCCTCCTCTAATGACTGATCTTCATTCACGTCCGGATGCAAGGCAACATCCCTCGTGATCTCATCGTTCAGTGTCCTCGCTGCCTGCTGGAAGCGGGAGCTGCGCTCGTCCAGCTCCTCCCACTCGTAAACCTCCCTCACCCGGTTCAAAGCCTCCTGGACGCATCTCCGTTTTGGCCTCTCGCTCATCCTCTACGCTCACAGCCGTCGCAGTTCACGAGTTGATCCCTTGGATCTTTTTTATTTCCCGTCTACGCTGAATGGATAGATAAGCAGACCTGGCAGGGCTCGTTGATGGGAACGTGGATCCTGTCCTCTCCCCGCACATGTACGAACAGCATTCTTCCATTGGACAGGATGTAATGGTCCTGCAGCGCACTCCTGTCCTGCTTCTCCACCGGGGGTGGCTTTCCTGGGAATGCGTAGCCGTTGCACCTCGCTTTCCCCTTCATCTCTCTGCAGGTCACGCCGGAGCGCACGAGAGAGTGGCATTTGTCGCCAAGGTAATGGCCGCACGACCAGCACACGATTGGATCGGGCATCCAGTTCAGGTGCCAAACGTCGAGTAGATCATCGCTGGGGGCGAAGCTCCTTTTGGGTGGAGGCATGGCGGTGATTATGGAAGCCTGGTTGAACTCCTCGATCCATGGGCATCAAAAAAAAGCATAGATGAGGTGTGCACCGATGCGTTACCTATGCGATGGTCAAGGTATGATCAGAAGAGAGAAGCTTGTCGATATGGTATGGGATGTACTGGAGGAGTCGAGCCTGATTTTGATATGGGTTGGTATGTGGAATGTCCTTTGTATAGTGTTCGACGACACATCCATCAGCATGAACATAGCACTGAGCATGGTGGGTTTTTTTGTTCGCTCTGTCCTTGTTGTTGCGAATGAGAACGCAACGCGGTGAGATTGTTTTTTTTTTGATTTCGTAGGGATAGGGTGTGGGCATCGGCCGATACGTCCGTGATCAATGCTGAGATGGTCGGAGCTCAATGCCGCCGTCGAGAAGGCAATGGACCCAAACGGCGAGGGTGGGGAGATTCCGGAGGGCATGAATATCAGCGACATGATGCAAGAATGGCTGACGCAGACGGATCCAAAAGAGAAGGCGACGAGCGAGGCGGTCTTGAACCGCATGCATGCGCAGGGAAGCGTACTGGCGCGCATGGCGTACCTGGCCTTGGAGGTCGATGCAAGGAAGGTGCAGGATGTAGTCCCGGGATGCAAGGAGCTGGAGCTCTCGGAGGAGCCGGTGGATGCGATGGGATGGAAGGAGTTGAGCCAGGCCATGGACAACGTGCAGATAAACTGGGGAAAAGTCTCCTCCCTGCCTGGGGTGAAGGATCTGTGCTGGAAGCTGTTCGCTCGCTTCGGATACTTCGCGGGGTACGCCTTTGGCGACGGGGAGGATGGCATCGACATCGTACACGACCGCGAGCCCTGCGCGGATGGTCATAGACTCTCTGACCTGGCAAAGCAGCAGGCGCTCGACGCCTTCTTCTGCATGTTCCGCTACCTGTGGCTCGTGGCAAGGCAGCAGCCCGTGCAGGAGCAAGGCCCGGAGTTGGACCTCAGGACGTTCCACTTCGAGGCGGCGACCGACACTTACCATGAGACGACCATGCACGACGATGTTCACATAGGCGCGCTTTTGCAATACATGCACCGTTTCTCAGGGCTCTTCCACTCCGTCAGCCAGGCCGTTTACTACCATCACCCAACTTACTCCCGAAGGCGCGCCCCGATGTCGATGGGTGCGCTCTCCGAGGAGGGGAGGTCCGCGGCCGACTGGATCCCCGTCCTGCGGCAGCTCTACCCGCAGTTGCAACTCTTCTACGAGTCATGCGACCTGCGGACTTTGCCCCCGGACGGATGGTGCTGGCTGCACGCCCCGGGCAGGGTGTGGCTCGTCGGGCCCCATACGGCGGTTCACTGGGACCCTTCCCCCGTCAAGCTACTCGGGGTGTACCTCCGCGCCAACCCTGGAACGTAATCTTTTGCCGTCGGGTAGGAGATTTAAGTGGGTCGTGCACCCCGCGTGCAAACAGGGCCCTGTGCGACATGGCCGACCGGAGACTTAACCCCAGACAGACCATTGACACAGAGGAGGAGTACTTGGCCGAAATACATAGAGTCAATTTGAGTTTGGATGAATATGAAAAGGATATGAACAATGTATTGACTAATGCAGAAAGACATGCTCTTTTGTTAAGAATTGATGATGTGGTGAGGAGAGCAATTGATTTGATTCAAACGGATAAATGGAATAACGTAGAATGTCAAAAGGCCAGGGATGATCTGTCGGATCGAGTAAATAGAATTTATCAAGCTGTACAAAAATTCATTGCACAATCGGGTGGGATCCAACCGGATGACCAGCCAGGAAGCAATGGATCAGACATGGGAAGAGATGGAGAAATGCAAAAAAAGATGAGATATATGGAGGATGAGATTAAAGCGTTGCATGGAGTTTTGAAGCATGTCACTGATACAATGGGCATGCTTTTGAATCATGATGTAGCAGGTGAATTGCGCCAAGTACGGGACAATTATCGGAGGAACAACATTGAAGTCAGGGAATTGATCCAAGATATAGATAGACTGAATGCTCAGCTCAGCGATAGGACGAAACATTATGATGATTTGTTTCGTGAATTGGGTAGAAGAATTGCATACCTTGAAACATCTCAATTCTCCAGGAAATCAAGTCGAAATACAAATATTGTCCAAACACAAGAAAATCGAGACAATGACGCTTTAATTCAAGAGTTGATGCGCCGTCAAGAGCATCAGAATGCTACAATCTTTGAAATGATGGAGAGAGAGAAAATAATGAATCAACAAATCGTTGAGATGGAGAGACTTTGTGGCGGTGTAATGGATCTTGTGACGGTGGGGGGTGGTAAGCGTACACTTCCTGCAGCTCATAGGCATGTACCTCGAATACTTGATGGCAACGAATCACACGGCGCTATACCAGATTGGGTCTATAGACCAGATCGTGGTAATATGGACCTTCCACGTCATGTTTATGAGCAGCACAAGCCAATGCCACGTATTCAGGATTCTAGGCGTCACGGACATGGTGCTGAGTACGGTAATCCTGAAAGCTCTTTGCTGTTGCCTCACAAGGTGCGAGAAAAGTCAACAGAACCTTTTAAGGAGGAAGAAGAAGAAGAGGAAAAGGAAGCTGCCATGGACGAATCAAGGCATGGAAGGAGGGTCAAGTTCCCTTCTGACAGCCATTTGCACAAGTCCCATCACTATGATAGATTTTCCACCAGCGACGAAATAGTAGATAAGCTGCGTCGCATGCGACAAGAGGTCATGGAGGCTACAGGTATTTTCAAGAAACACTGGCAGGGAGAAAGTGAGGCTACAGGTACTGTGAAGAAACACTGTGATTTGAAACCGGCGAGTAAGGGCGATGGTTCAGATATGTGGGAACTAGATTGCCCGGCACCCTTTGGTTGCCTTGGCACGAGTGCTGATATTGATCCGGTGAGCGATGGGGTGGATAGTCTTGACGTCGAGGTAAGACGTTTACATACCTTTGCCACAAAGCTGGACAAGTCACATGAGGTATGATTTGGCCCTGGATATGAACTGGGTGTCTTCCGGGATGAGCCTTGGCAGGTGGACATTCCTTATCGTCCTGGATATCTGTATCGACAGGAAGATTGCAAACAGCTGCAGAGCGAAGATGGTGAGGAGGAACGCCAGTAGAAAACGCCTTGCGGCCTGCGTGGCCTTTGGTGCCATACCCATTGTCTTTATTCTTGTTTGTTCGTATAAATGCCGATGTTTAGCCCGCGTGTAATTCCATGTCAGTGGACGGTGACAGTAGCACACATGAGAGGCTTGACTATCTCATGAGTCATATCATGGATATCAAGGAGTTTGATCTACTGATCAATGACAAAGTGAAGGATATGAGCGAAAGACTAGACGAGTTGACGCGTATGTACGGCGTTGTCGAGGGATTCGTCGACGATTTCAACAGTCAGATATATGAAGTTGAGGACAGACTTGGAAAGGTCGAGAAGCTCCTTGTCTTGGTGGAGAGGCGAGTGACGTTGTACACCGGCAAGGTGGACAGGGAGGTGGATCAGCTTGATACGGAGATTGAAGCTTTGCACGAGCAGGCTTTGAACCTGGTTCACTGATGTCTGAGGAGTGTGTCCATGCTCTTCTTCCTGTCTTCGGTGTCATAGTCTTCGTTGGGTGCGTGGTGTGATGCATCCTCGGTTTCGTCGTCGTGCTTCACGGCCACGCTGGAGAGCACGTTGCCCGGCTGCGGCGTGGGAAGCCCGTGGGCGGTGTGGTGGGTGGAGTCGGACTTTATCCATGCGGAGTATCTCTCCGGGTCTACGACCTTGCCTTTCATGAAGGCTATGCTGGTGTACACGTTCACGAGGAGGTCGGCGACGATGCGGATGATCAGGAAGTCCACCTGGGAGAGCATGACGAAGAGAGCGAAGACGCTCATGATGCAGCAGTAGAGCGTCCAGACCTGGGTGATCAGGATGCACATGGTCTTGGAGTAGGGGAGGAACTTGGTCTTGTGGTCCTGGATTGTGTTCTGGATCCACGGCATGATGGCGTCCCCCACGAAGGCGTTGATGGATGTGGAGACAAAGGTGAAGACGGCGATGCAGCTCCACTTGTACCATGTGTCGAGCTCCACCCCCATCACCTTGGAGTGCTTCCCGGGTCCGAGCTTCATGAAATGGGAGTCCATCACCCCGAGCTCTGAGAAGATGCCGAGCACCATGCTCATCCAGGTCATCAGGAGGACGCAGGTCAGCCTCTTGTCCTCGAAGAACCTGTTGATAACCTCCATCCCTGACGCTCTGGCGCACGCAGTGGGTTAACTATATCGGCGGCTCAGGGCAGACGAAACACGTCAGGTCCATGGTTGGTGGTTATTTAACCCCGGCTGCGCGGTGGGTGGCATGGTATGCAGTGTGTGAGAGAGAAGTTGGTCAAGTTGAGGGACGAGCGTATCTTGGAGATCGGACGCACACTGGATTCGTTGGAGGAAGACTTCGGCTTTGACCTTACCGGGTACAGGGATGGGTTGCCGGAGCTCTTTCAGCTGAAGGATTATGGTGGCATGCCGCCCATATGGAACTTCGTCATATCCCTCATGCCCTCCGGCAGGGAGGAAGAACCACCGGAAGAAGGGCTGGCGGTGACAGTGAACGACTTTATAGATGACGTGGATGTCCTTATGAAGATCAACAGGGATATTTCGAAGGAGGGATTAAACTAGCTTTCCACCCTAGACTCTCTCTCGACCCTCTGCATGATCTCGTTCAGCGCCCTCCTTGGGATGTGGACAGAGCTGCAGACCCTCTGTATGATGACGTTGCAGATGTTGTCCCGCACCTCCTGCTTCATCCCGATCTTCTCCGAGTCCTTGGTAGCGTGGAAGAACTGGCATATCACCTCTGAGGTGTCGATGTAGGTCTTCGGCAGGGCACTGTTGAAGGTTGCCATACCACCTCCCCCCATCTGCGTGGAGAGGGAGGCGCAGCTCCTCTCTTGCATGTGCTGCAGGATATCGAGGAGGAAGGACTTCTGGTCCTCGTCCATGCAGAAGAAAGGGTAGATCGCCGTGTTGCAGTCCTGGAAGGGAGCGAGGCCGGTCTTGGTGATGTTGATCCTCACTGGCGTGGAGAGGAACATGCAGATCGTGTGTGTTATGGGGTCATGTATGTCGGACGTGCAGGAGTTGCACATGTAGGAGAGCATGTTCCGTAGATACACCCCCCTCAAGAAGAGGGATTGGAACTGGGTAAGTATGCTCTCCTCGGTAATGTCATTGCCTCCGCTCTCCATTCTGGTATCGGTCGTGAATCTTTCCGTCGTTTATTACCGAAGGGGAAGATAGATACAAATAAGATCTAGATAGACTCGCTTATCCAGAAGATCTTTTTGATGATTTCTGTTGGAAGGTCACTGAAGACGGCTGCTTTTACCCCCCTCTTCCGGCAAAGCTTCATTCCATAGACGAAAGACTGTATCTTTGACAAATGCCTGTAACCTTGCACCTGGAAATCGATCTTGTACCAAAAATGGCGCAGATCCGAATCTATGCCAAAGTCTCTGCACAGCTCCATCAGATCATCGAAGTACTCTGAAGTCTCGGGCGCGATGTGCTAGGTGAGGCTGACAGGGTCGTTTTTGTACATGGCGACCTGCTTCGACCGCTCAATGTGGCAGAGCGACATCTGCCTGTTCCAATCGTTCGCCGCGATGGTGGACGTGAACGCCGTGTCGTTGCAGTAGTAATACGTATAGGGCCTCTGCCCGGCAAAAGATGGGCTGTCGAAACTCAGGGGCAAGGGGGCGACGGGCATGTAGCTGGATGTCCCACCCACGGTGGTCTTCAGCACGCTCGTCTCACCGAAGAGTGTCACACGCTGGCTGCCGATGGGCTGGCCATAGACGTTGGTGTACAAAGACTTGAAGATCGGGAACCGCATGCTGCCAGAGTTGTACCCAAACTCGATCACGTGCACCGAGAAGATGACGAGGAAGGAGAACGCCAGGCTGAACTGGATAATGAAGCTCACCATGAAGACATAGTTATCCCAGGAGGTATGCATCCAACTCGACCTTTTCTCACTGTCTTGGCTGCTCGCCGCATACGCCGGACCACTTGATCTTTCCGCCATGCCTTTTTGATGCCCGTCCGCGCTCGACATTTATATGGTTCAGTCTCTGGAAAAAAATCCTGGGCATCTAGGCGAGGCAGTCACTGGGCCCCACAGAGGAGCAGGTCCGAGGAGAGCTCCGCACAGCCGCACCGGCAGAGGGGGAGGAGGAGGGCCTGGAACACCACGGAGGCGTTGGTGACGACGATGAATATCATCCACGCGACGTACAAGAGCATGCCCTCGTGCTCCGGGATGGAAAATACCACCGAGAAGCTAGTCGCGCTGTGAGGGTTGTGTGTGCAGATGATGTCGACGTCGGGGTACCGATCCTTGACCCTGTCGTGCATGTCGCCGTTCCACTCCTCGTAGTCAGTCAGCATGCAGGTTGGTTGGCCTGACTGAAGCAAAGATGCTAAGTTCTTGAGGCAACGGGGCGGTGAGCGGGGAGCGGTAATAGCCGGAGCTGTTGGTGAGCCATACCCCTTGGTCTGTTAGGTAGGGAGAGTACACAGTAGACGTCGGGTCTTCAAAGGTGAGAGGTTGATAGGGGCCGATGTAGTGATTGACCAGGCTTCTTGTCCAGGTGATGAAGTCGTCCGGCCTGCCGGTCATATCGAAGAGGTCGTACCAGAGCCTCAACCAAGCCTCATCCGAGGCGGTGCTCCGGAACAAAGCACCCGCCGCCACCGCTGCTTCCACCCTGAGGTAAAGGTTCTGGAAACCCAGAAGGATGTAATTCACGGTGGAGAGGTTGATGAAGGCGGTGATGTGGGTCCCATTATCCCTTATGCCCTCCGCCGACTTCATGAAGACTCCCAGGGTGGCGGAGATGTTGCGCAGGCGGAGGGTCCAGGCGATGTCGCCATAATCGACGGCGTGCGACACCTTGATGAGCCCGCGGCCCTCCCCGATGGGCGGGAGGTAGAGCTCGGGCACGATCTTCTGGATCCTGTAGGGGACGTTGAGGTAGGAGGTCTGCGTGGTGATGCGTGCAGAGTCCCCGTAGACGTAAGGGGTAATGTCACCCAGCAGGGCGTTGTTGTAGTTGATCCTCGCATTCGCCGTCCCGTTCAACCCGTACGGCAGGTTGTCCGTGCTCAGCGGGGGGAGCGGGCCCTGGTTCATCACCACCTCGGGCATCCGCGGGTTGTTCAGGTTACCGAAAAAGTTCGACATCGCTCGCTCTCGCCTTACCAATCACATGCGGGTGTCGTGCCGCGGGGCCTTTTATATGCATCGATCCTTGCACACCCAAGTAGAACATCGAGATCTTTACTCAACGCATTCAACAAATCTACGAACTGCTCGGTATCCACCTACTGCACGGACATATTCTCAATCATTCTCATGCAAACATGGAAGTGATGGTTGTCGATGAAGTCCATGGCATCTTCCAAGGCCTTGATCTCCTGAGCATGCTTGATGCCGTCCTTGCTGAGGGTGGCCTTCTCCTTCTTCAGCACACGGACGGCCTCAACACAGGCGTCGACCTTCAAACGTCTGTACTGACGGGTGATAGAGTCCAACTCCTTCTGCAGCATCTCTTTGCCAGATGCAGCGCGTTGGAGCTCCTCCTCGAGCTCCTTCTGGATCTTGTCGACGTCGTGCAACTTTGCATCCAGATCCAGGCACCGCGAGGATTGCTCGAAGAGTTCTTTGTATTCGGGTACGAAAATCCAGGTCGCGAACATTTCGCGTGGTGCGGGGATGGTTTATCCGATGTTTAAATAGTGCGGCATGCAACCGACAGCCTTGGAATTTCAGATCTGGTCCACCCCACCGTCCCTCCCCCTCTGCAGCATCTCGCGGAGCAGCCGGGTGTCTTCATCATCGGCCTCCTCCGCTGCCTCGTAGGGGACGGACATTTCAAGCTCGAGAGCGGAGGAGGGCCTCTGCCGGTTTGAGCCGTGGTAGCCGTACGCGGGTGTGTCTACGGGGTCCGGGGTGGGGGGCTTCCTCCTCCGTTCGGGATGGGAGAAGTAGCCGCGGAACTCGCTCTGCTGCTGGTAGAACTTGAACATGATGCATACCCAGACCATGCCGGCGAACACGCAGGCAATCACCTGCCCCACGAACATGACGGGGAAGAAGCGGGTGATGCACATCGTGAAGGGGTTGTCGTGGCCGTCCGAAGGGTCGCGCACCCTGAGCCGGAAGGTGTAGAACCAGCTGACCGAGAGGCACTGGAAGGTGATGGCGCGTATGGAGAGCTCCAGCACGGAGGCGGAGGACAGCGGGAGCAGCGTGTGGACGTAGAACATGATGGCGCCGAGCAGGATGTCCGGGTGTGGGAGGATGGATAGGATCCAATGGCGCCCGAGCGGGAGCTCATCCTTCACGAGCAGGAAGAGCGCCATGAAGCACCATACGGCGTTGAGGGCGATGTCCCTGGCGCTGTCCACGTACCCCGTCCTCACCCTCTCGGAGTCGATCACGAAGCAGAGCAGCACGCAGGCCACGGAGAGGTTCGAGTCGATGCCACCCTGCACCTCCACGGTGAAGAGTATCCGGTCCACGGTGCGCTTTACAACATGACGGTGGTGAGCCTGGAGTACATCAATGAGTACAACGTGGCCGTCACGGTCCTGCAGGCGAGCATGCAGAGCTTCGATGTCCTGACCCGCCTTCCCAAGCCAGGCTATGACGGGTACCAATACGTGGTCTACTTTGTGAACCCGACGACGAACGAAGGGCCTTCGACCAGCATGTACAGCCCGCTGGTGCCACAGTCGCTCCTGAGCGAGGGCCTGCTCTGCCCCAACGAGAGGCGCATGCCGGAGATCGGCGCCAGCCTGGCAGAGGCATGGGCTGGCGTGTTGCTGTTCATGCGCCTGCCGCTCAATGCGGTTGTGCTCTTCCCTGCGATCTTCAGTGCGGGGGACTGGCCTCTCTTCACGCAGTGTGCCACCGTCACGCTTGGGAACTCGATGCTGTTGAACTGTGGCAAGGGCATACTGAACGTGGACCTCGCTTTCGAGGCTTGGCACCGCTCCTCCTTGTTGTATTATCAGTCGTTCGTCAAGATCATCACTTTCGGTCAGGGGCTCAGTCCATCCTCCACCGTTTTGCTGTATGCCAAGCAGGCGGTGATAGGGTCGACGACGGCGGCCACCTACATGGTCCACGGGAGCCCCGCCTTCATGAGTAAGCTGCTGGCGTCGGTGGACTTCAACCGACCCTTCGCCGACCTGTCGCATGCGATGCTCTATGCCCTGCCCCCATGGATACGCATCTTCGGCAGGATGATGCGCTTCTCCGTCACCAGCTTCCATATGTTCATGCACTTCTTGGAGAGGCTGATCATGGATTATGTGCTGAAGCTCGCTGCCGGGGAGAAGATCGATGCCGGCATATTCTCCATCCTGACGGGCATGCGTGGGGACATCGAGGATCTCATCGTGACCCCGAACGAGCAGATCTGCGGCGGGGTGAGCCTCATCTTCGGGTACACCAACCCGCCCGCCACCGTCATGCGGTACTTCTGTGAGGTTGGCGCCAAAGTCGTGCTCGACCTGTTCGACTTCCTGACCGTGTTCTTCGTCGACTTCCCCATCGTGAACTGCATATGCAAGGACTCGCAGGGCGTGGTCTACTCCTCCTACCTGGAGCAGAGCTGCTACCCTTGGACTCCCGTCAGCTACCGCCCTCTCCTCAACGCCCTACTGGTGGAGTCTGCCGGGAGCCGAGCCCTGATGTGCAGCATGGTTGTCAACATGACCAACAGCAACATATCCTCTGCGTTCGACAGCACGTTTATGGCGCTGTACGATGGGTACACGAGCGTGGGGTCCGTCTTCGATTACTTCCTTATCTTCATGGACCCTTCCAGCGGGACCTGCAACAACTATTACACCTCGGACTACGTCATGTCGATCATGCCGGAGCCCATCGACTACTTCACGATGTGCTACACCACCAGGCTGTGTGAGGTGGCCTGCGGTGAGCAGTACGATGCGTTCAATTCCGCTCTGGTGGCGGTGTCAAAGGGGAAGGACCTCGTGTATACCATGAACAAGACCGTGACGGTGGAGAGCCAGTTCTTTACCGCGGACGGCGAGTACTATGGGACGAACAGGCTTCCCTTCGATATATTCTCGGTGGTAGAGTTGTCGGGGTGCAACCGTGTTTGTTACGGTGACATCGCCCAGTCCGGTGCCCCGAGCCAGCCCGATCGCTGCATCTCTGCGGTTGGGCTCGACTCGAGCCTGAGCGTCGTGGTCAAGGCCTACTGCCTCCCCTCCAGCCTGAAGACGGGGTTCCGTCCCGCCGCGACTGTGACGGACGGCAGCTTTCCGCATGGGATCGATTACAAGGTCGCTGGCAGCTCGTCTTGGTCGGGGTCGATCATGAGGATGCAGTATGTTAGCATCAACCTCGTCGACTCCATAGGCCATAGCAACATTGTGGTGGTCGCCACGTCGAAGAATGTATCTCTGATCAGTGACCAACAACAGAGTTATACACTGCTTCAGACCATACCGAGCTCGCAGAAGGCGGTACAGCTGACGGATGTGTATAGCATCGACGAGGTGCAGAGCTTCCCGGACGATGGGGTGGCGGACATCTTCGTTCAGGCGACGACGACGACGTGGGATGCATCCGGTAGCCCCAGCACCGGCCCCGTGTGCCTGCATATCGCGCTGAACACACAGACGTTTGCCAACCTCGTTCAGCTCAAGTCTTCTGCCTACACCATCAGCAAGTGCTCTGCCTCCAACAATGTCTTCTCCAAGGTGACGACCCCCTACGTGACCTGCCTGGGACACGCGTGCTCCGGTGTGGCCCTCTTCCCCACCAACGACGGCTATCCCGTCACTGTTTGCGATAGGAAAGTCGGTGATCTGACGTGCTACAGTGTTTCGAGCGTTGGCCACCTAGCATCGGACTTGGGTCTGAGCAGCGAGCCCAACCCGCCGGCAGATCTCCATGACGCAGGACAATGTCTTCATACGCCAATCACCCAAGCTGGCACAGAACTCGCTCACGGGCTGGAACGGGGCCGGTCAGCAGAGCTCGATGACGATCTTCGCCGTGGCGGACCAGAAGGTGACGACGACCTGGCTCTCGGACATCCGTCTCGTTGTGAATGCGGGGGTGTGGAATGGCACACGGTCCTACTCCTCCTCCTACCAGATGCTCACGACCCTGAAGAAGAATTGCAGCGTGAGCGACTGCACCGGTTGCATGGGCTACCCCACGCTGCAGAGCCTCTGCTACGCAGCCTCCCAGTGTGCTGTGGCCAGGTGCATAGGCACCGAGGTCAACTTCCAGCGGCCCCTGTGTGCCATGGGATCCGTGGTGTCGAAGATGCTGCGCCAGAGCCTCATCACGATGCAGAACGTGTACCTCATCTTTGCGCAGAGCATGGCGCTGATCGTCGACGCATCCACGGGGCAGATCACGAACAGGGTGGTGATCGAGTGGCCGGACCAGGTGTTCTTCTCCGCCATGTGCGACATGAAGGATGTCACCATCTCCGCCGTGGGCATGCTCATGTCGCTCATCAACGGGATCACGATGAAGGCACAGCAGGTGCTCAGCTCGTCGCAGGTGGCGCTCGTTCCCACGGACCCCACATTCAACGCCAGGGCCACGCTTTCGATGGCGAGCATGACAAACCTCTTCTCGCAGATCCTTCTCCTCCCTATCTATGGCGCCGTAGCCTCGCAGAAGACCTTTGTCTGCACGACCAACTCCCTGACGGCGGTATTGAACACCGACCTCCTGGGCAACTTCCAGCTCGTCATCGGCGACCCGAGCATACAGGCGGTCAGCGGGGATGTGGCAGGGGTATGCCTGACGCAGGTCTTCAACCAGGACGTCCAGAACATGGCGCTTGGCGGGGCGAGCAACACCCTTGGCTCTGCCGTTGCCCAGGTGGCAGAACCCACCGCCTCATAGCCGGCTATGCACAGGCACTTGTTGGGGTCGGCGGCGGTCGTCCCGACGGGATTCCATCGGTTCGCCCCACACGCGATGCACAAGCTGTTCTGCCCGTACGTGGCCTCGGGGCAAGGCGCGCACACCCCATCCCCCACATGGTAATACCCGTCGCAGCAAAAGGCACCCGCCAACGACGCCCTCCCCGCGGGGCATGACAGACACTGGGCACCCCGTAGGCTCGGCTGGTACGTGCCCGCCGGGCAGATCGTGCAGCCCAACTGTGACGCGGAGTTGATCGAGGTGTAACCATACCCACAGTCCGCGCAGCTCGTCGCCCCCAGCACATCCTGGTACGACCCAGGGGGGCAGTACTCACACAACCGGTTTAGGCTCGAATTGCCCCCAGCCTGGCAGTCGTGCACTTGATACTGCCCCGCCAGGCAAGAGTCGCAAGTGGTACACTTCCTGTCAATTGGCTTGTTCCCACCGCATGGGGTGCTTTCGTACGTCCCCGCCGAGCAAGCGGCGCTGCACGTGGTGCACACCCTATCCTGGAACTCATTGTTCCCCCCTTGGCATGCCGTTGTCTCGAATTCATTGGATCCACAATTGGAGCAAGCCAGGCATCCGGCGGGATTGTTCGCAATCGACGGTGAGTTGTAGTAGTAACCATCCGCGCAGTCGCAGCAGTACCCCCAGTCCAGAGGGGTGTGGCAGCCCCACACGATGGCTGCGGAGACGACGGATCTCACAGTGTTGGACTCGCAGGTCCCAGAGGCACAGGCCTTGATGGGGCATGACCTGCTGTATGCCCACTCTATCGGTATGTCGGGGCTGTACACGCAGTCCAGATCGGACGTCGACCCACCGTTGGAATAGTACATGCCGGGGCACTGCTGGCAATAGCCATTCGACATGTAATATCCCGGCTTGCACACGCACGAAGACCCTCCCGACATGATGTACTGGTTGTTCGGGCATGAAACACAGTCGGCACCATTGTAATATAGACCAGGCAGGCACACGCACTTGAGTTGTGAGAGGGAGTAGTAATAGTTGGTAGGGCACGTCGTTGCCGCCACCGACGGGATGAGACAAAGGCAAACGACCCACGCAGGAGGCGTCCGCATTTACAATCACAGCTAGGATTAATCTTTTTATAGACTTATTTCTCTCCCTCCACCTTCCTCCAATGCCATGTCTTTCTTCAGGCCTAGGGTGCCACCTCGCAGTAGAACCCGTCGCTGCACGGTACGCAGTCCCCGTCCACGTCGTAGTACCCTGGCGCACAAGCACAGCCCTCGGGGATGCTGGTGTTGACCCGTGAGCGGCGGACCAAACCGCAGTCGTAGCAGACCGACATGCCCGTCGCGTTGTTGAACTTACCCGGTGGGCACTGCAGACAGTACGCGGCCCGGTACGTCTCCGAGTAAGTCCCGGCACCGCACTCGGGGCAGCCACCACCCTCGCCGTACTGCATCCGCGTGCCAGGAGGGCAGTCTGTACAGGCTGAAGAACCCTGCGGCGCATACTGCCCATGGGCACAGGGCGTGCAGTTGGTGGATACGCCGACGGAGTAGCTGTTCAAGGGGCAAATGGATATGCAAGGGCAGGCGAAACCACCGTTGCTGTAGTGCATGCCGAGCGGGCAATAGGCAGGGATATCCGACTTCGGCACGCAAATCCCTGCGGCAGCGCCGCCGCAACCCACCAGCACCTCGGTCGTCTGGCAAATGGGACACGGGGTGCAATACCCGGATGTGTCGTTCTGACAGCCCGCCCGGTACTGGTTCCTTAGGCAGGCAGGGCACGCCTCGCACAAACCAGGGCCGAACCGTCCGCATCCCACTCTGTACTCACCCTCGGCGCACCCAACACAGGGCTCGCAAGCGCTTGTGCAGTCCCTCCTGTACTCCCCAACGGGGCAATCCGTGCAGGACTGGCAATACCCGGGCGATGTCCCACCGCACCCCACAAGGGTCTCAAACGCGCTGCAAACCGTGCAAGGGTAGCAAGAGCCAGCGCTGCTCCCACCGCAGCCGGCAGCGTAATTTCCAGGGGAACAAGACGCACAGGCCTTGCAATTGCCCGCGGACTGCCCCCCGCAACCCAAAGCATACCGATTGTCACCGCAGTAATCGCAGCTCTCACACGAGCCCTGGCTGCTACCGTAGCAGCCCATCCTGTATGTCCCGTCCCCACACGCCCCACAGTCGATGCAGAAGGTTTCATTCGACACGCCGTTGCAGCCAGGGAAGTACTGCCCGGCGCTACAGGAAGGGCACGGCCTGCAGGCGCCCTGGCTCCCACCGCCACATCCATACCTGTACTGGCCCAGGGCACAGCTCGGGCACTGCTGGCATGTCCCATCCACAAGGTAGTACCCCTCGCAGCAGGAAGACCCCTGGACTGAGGTCGAACCCCTAGGGCAGGGATTGCAGGAGACCTGCCTGGCCTGGTTCTGGTAGGTACCAACGGGACACTGCTCACACACACCGGGGGACGGAAGGTAACTCCCCGCGGGGCAGTCCGAGCAGAAAGTCTGCTTCACGTCCGCAGAGAACGTCCCGAACGGGCATGTGTCGCACCAGTAGTAGCCGTACTCCGCGTTGTACCGGCTGTATTTCCCGACTGAACAGGACTGGCAGCTCGTCAGGGTGCTATCCGGCTCCTCCCCCTGTGGGCACGCCACACAGCCAACGTCCGCGGCAAGCGAGAAGGACCCCTGCGGGCATGGCTTGCAGTAGTACATGCTTGCATCAGACAACCCAAGCTTCAGGCACACCGATGGCAGAATGCTCGCACTGGGCTCGTAGGCAACGTAGTAGTTGGCCTTGCAGGAGCAGCTGTACAGCATCACCCCGTTCAGATTCTGCGCAAGGGACTGCTGGTCCAGGGCCTGGCTGACGCAGAACGAGGTGAATCCCTTCATACAAGAGCCTTGCTCTACCCAATGCTTGGTGTAATCGTAGGTCACTACATAGGGCAGGCTGGAGGGCATAGTAGAACAGCTCCTATCGACCGAGCCATACGCCGTCAGATCGATGTATTGACCGGAGGGACAAGCCCCGCCCCCCGACCGACAGCTCCCCGACACCAGATACCTGTTGTACAGATACCCATGCACACAAGTCGTCACACAGACCTCGCTCACTGGAATCTGATCCGCGTGGCATTGCACGCAGGCGGTGGACCCCGCTGGGGCATAGCTGTCAGTCAAGCACGAAATGCACGTCTCATCCTTGGTGCTCGAGTACGTCCCTGCACTGCACTGGGCACAGGTCCCAGTCACGGGTGAGGAGCTTCCAGACCACGTCCACCCATAGCCAGGGCAGCAAACCTTCCCGGTATATCCCGTGGACACAGCGCCACTGCAGGCAAGGCAGGCGGTGCTTCCCTGATCGGGCTGGTAGCTGCTCGCCCCGCACTCGCTGCAATGGGTCTGACCCGTGCTTGGCTGCTCGCTACCCCTGGGACACGGCAAGCAGGAGAGGTAGCGATTCTCCGCAGGCATGAAGGTGCCAGCCGGGCAGCTGCTACAGGTTGTCGAAGAGCAGCTGTCACGGTAGCTCCCCGCAGGGCAGAACACCCAATCGGTGCACTTGCTTGGGAGAGTCTCACTGAAGAATTGCAGGGGTTTGTACGTGCAAACACCGGGGTTCCGCTCCTCACAGTACTTCAAAATGTCTCCCTCCGAGCAGGAGGACGTGTTGCAAACTGAACAGGCCCCGGAGGTGCTCGTCCCACAGAGCGCCGACATGTACTGGCCACTCGGGCACATCGTGCAGGGCTGGCACTCCCCGGGAGACGTTCCACCGCAGCCAACCCGGAAGCTAGACGAAGAGCAAGGAAGGCAGTCGGAGCAGGCACCAGACGAAATACCCCCGCATACAACAGACGTATACTGGTTGGCACCGCAGCTCAGGGTGCAATCCTTGCAGGTCCCGGCCACTGTCCCCCCGCACCCCTCCAGGTACTGCCCGCTGTTGCAATCCGAGGTCGGACAGGGGACACACGATCCGGATTCCAAACCCCCACACCCCACTAAGTACGTCCCAGGATCGCAAGTGGCACACGGCTGGCATGTCCCTTCCGAGGTGCCGGAGCAGCCCTTCCTGTAGTCCCCAGCAGAGCACGACTGGCAAGGCATGCAGCTCCCAGCAGTGAGGTTGCCGCAGGCACTCAGATACTGGCCACTAGAACACTGCAACGTCGGGCAGGCGGTGCAAGTCCCAGGGTTCACACTCACACAATCCTTGTTGTACTCCCCGGCACCGCATGAAGCACATGGCACGCAGGTACCTGGGTTCGTCCCCGAGCAATTGGCCCTGTATTGGCCTAACGGGCATGAGCCACAGAGGTTGCAGACCCCCGCACTCACCCCACCACATCCAGTCAAGTACTGACCGCTGCTGCAAGTGTGGGTCGAACAAGACACACAAGTACCTTGGCTTATATTCGCACAATCAGCCCGGTAAGTGTCGGGTGGGCAGGATAGCAATAAACACGACTTACATGAACCGCCATACACACCACTGCATCCATCCCTGTAATATGTCGGCGGGCTCCATCTAGACTGATCTGATACCTCCTTGTGTCATCCGACTCATATATATACTGAGTCGGGCCCGCAGGGCCCGCCTTAGAAAAAACTCATAACGTCGGGAGCCCCACCGCAAACATACCCCCAGATCCCCTCCCACCTTCCATCTGAGGTCATGGAGAGGCTCATTGGCCTCCATCTAGACTGATCTGATACCTCCTTGTGTCATCCGACTCATATATATACTGAGGCGGGCCCGCAGGGCCCGCCTTAGAAAAAACTCATAACGTCGGGAGCCCCACCGCAAACATACCCCCAGATCCCCTCCCACCTTCCATCTGAGGTCATGGAGAGGCTCATTGGCCTCCATCTAGACTGATCTGATACCTCCTTGTGTCATCCGACTCATATATATACTGAGGCGGGCCCGCAGGGCCCGCCTTATTAATTCCTTTTCTTTTTTTTTTCTTATACATGTCTAATTATATAATAATAAATGTATTATATGTTAGTACTAATATACATTACTCAATACATATAGTACTACCCACAAGGCAGGGTTCACCCTCCACAGCCCATGCTTTACATAAACGGCCGAGGAAAGCGCCGAGGCTCAGAGTAGGCCGCTACATGCATGGGCAGGCGGCCACACTGCAGGATGCCTGCGAGAGAGAAGAGGCGGACACCGAGCAAGACGGCTTCGTCTACCCCCCACGCGCACAGATCGAGGATAAAGACAGAGGTATGGACACGGAGGAGCCGATGGATCACACATTCCAGTGGATCTCGGCGATTCAAAGCGGCTGCATCATCGTCTCCTTCGCGTTCTACACCTCACTGGCACTCTCCAGGGACGTCAGGGAGGAGAAGTACAGGAACAACATCGATTGCGTACTGCAGACCATGGAGAGCATGACGGTGGACGCAATCACAGTCCTATTCGTCCTCGCTGGCTTCTCCGACTCGCACAGGAGGTGGAACGACGGCCTAAAATGGCCGGAGATCGCGTACAGCGTCAACGCGGAGATGTACCCCCACATCGCGCTCGTCAACACCCTCCTCATGCCCTTCGGGATGGCGGTGGACGGGCTGTGGTCGAGCCCGATGACATGGGTCATCAACCTTTCATCCATCCTCTATCTACCACCGTTCCTGGAGCTAAGGCAGGACTCCCGCTACCGCCTCTTCAACGAGTCGACGGCCATCCTCATGACCCTCCTCCTCTGCAGGACGGCCTACCCGCTGGCGAGGTCAGCGATCAACAGCACCATAAACAACTTCCCCGCACACCACGAGAAGATCAACATGGCCAACGTCATATTCCAGACGGCGGTGTCCTGCATTATCACCTCGATCAATCTCCGAGACAACCAAGCCTTTCAGCACCCTCGTAACCTCACTGAACACCATCAACGAGACGCAGCAGGGCCTTGGCATCTGCCCGAATGAGGCGGTGTATCAGCGAGGCACTTCCACTGTCACTGGCCAAAGGTCCGATAGGACAGACCTTACAGGAAACCGGCAGATCATCAGCGGGACGGTGGACTCCACGGGCGCCACGACGGTGTACGCGGACGGGTCAGCTGGGACTGCTTCGGTGCTCCCCTCCCTTGTCTCTACCTCGGATGGGTACATCGAGATTGGCAGCCTGTTCGAGGGTTACATCCAGGAGCTGATCGTCCTGGGGACGGCAGTCACAACAACGCAGCGGGAGGCGATCCACCGGTACCTCTCCAAGAAGTGGCACGTCTCGCCGCACCGGATGGACTCGAACGGGGACGGGACGTCGGACTACTGGGACCCTTCGGGGGTGCCGCCGTGCAGCGTGTGCTCGGCGGGCTCGAGCAGCGCCCTGGGGGCGTGCCAGGCCTGCCAGGCGGGGAAGTACAGCCCGTACGGGGGGCGGTGCGACTGGTGCCCGGGCAACTCGACCTCGTACCCCGGCGCGGTGTCGATCGCCCAGTGCTCGTGCGTGCCGGGCTACTACCGGACGAGCCTGACCACGTGCGAGGCCTGCCCTGCCGGGTTCTACTGCCCTGCCGTTTGTAGCTAGGTGGTTCTTGAAAATAAAATTTATCCTCTTCCTTTTTTTGTGTCCAGGGGTTCCATCCCGTCCATTTAAGACGCAGGGGGTTGTCTGGGAGAGGATGAGGGCATGGATCACGCTTGTGTTCGCGCTCGGGTTGCTGCCCACCGGGGGCGACTGCTCCCTGTGCGTTGTAGGGTACTACGATGACGGCAACGGGGTGTGCGTCCCGTGCCCCCTGCATACCACAACGTCTGTGTTGGGAGCGAAGGGTTCGACCGCGTGCGATATGTGCGCGACAGGTTATTACAACCCAATGATGGATTACCGCGGTCCACTCGTCCAGATCATCCGGGACAAGCCGCCCTGGGGGGTGTACCTTGCCAGGGACTACAACAACGGGCAGATACCGGACGCGCAGGGGGTTCGCGCCGCCGCCACGGTGACGGGGGGCACCATCTCCCACGGGAATGCATCGGGGAACGGAGCCAACGGGCCGGTCTCTTACGTGTCGGGAGATAGCAGCACCAGTATTCTGTTCCCTTCCGGGAGTATCCCGGACACCTTCACGATATGTGGTGTGGCTCGTGAGACCAATGTCAACCCTGTCAATAATTTCGGCCTGGGCTTGATCTTTGTGGGTATGAACAACCCGTGGTTTCTGGGATGGTACTACAGCCTGGGGAGGGCATACTTTGGCAAGGATATGACGGACAACACGAACAAGTACAAGAACTACATGGATTGGATGGTGGTCTGCGGCACGAACGGGGGTGTCCACCCCAACAACATCAAGACGGCCATGCTGTCGGCTACCGGGTATACGATATCCAACTACGGGACGGCCGACGGTGGGAGCGGCGGCGACACCCTTGCGATCAACGCCGGGTCCTTTTTCCCCCCCACGGGCAGCGAGTTGCTGGAACCCTTTTCTTTCCACTCCGTGTACATCTGGAACCAGACCCTGACCTCGGGTGAGATGGACAGCGTCATGAAGTATCTCCTCTATATCCTGGACGTGGGAGAGAGTGATTTAAAGTGCGATACCTGCGATTTCGGGTTTTACAACGCAGACGGCATTTGTGTGCCATGTCCAAGTGGCTTGAGTACCTCGCAGCGTAACTCCACTCTTTCTGACTGCCATTGCCCTGTTGGGCATTACCTTGATTCGAATGGTTATTGTTGGAAGTGCCCATGGGACTTTACCACCGAGACATCAAATGCTGACAATGTCACGTATTGCTTACGTAGGTATACCAGCACATCAACCAGCTATCAGGTGACATTCGATGTGGACGCCCGTATGGATGTATTGATCGTTGGGGGTGGAGGGGCTGGTGGATACTTCAATTCTCCTGTTTATATTTCGATGTGGTCAATCTATTGGACCTATGGCGTCGGAGGTGGCGGTGCTGGTGGTATGGGGATAGGATGGCTGTTGCTAAAAAGCAATGTTGTTTACCAGATCACGATTGGCGATGGTGGAAAGTCACAGGCATTTTCTTCTGGGACAGGGACAGGTCTAGACAGTGGATTGAGCGGTGGGGACACGACAATTATCGGGGGTGATATTGATGAGATAGCGTACGGCGGTGGAGGTGGTGGTGGGTTGGACTCGAGAGCTTCATGGACTGATACCCAAATCTCACAAACAGTAAAGGGAAAAGATGGTGGAAGTAGTGGGGGTTCTGCGAACAGCAAGAAATATAACAACGTGCCTGTTGTGAGTTACGTATCACCTGCTGCGACTGCTACTAAGGGGTCATCGAGGTTAACTACCCGACTTGGTGCTATGACTTACTACGGGAATAATGGAGGTGTGAGCGCAACGGATGAGGGTAGTTCTGGCGGTGGTGGCGCGTCGGAACCCGGAGAAGATGCTACCTCATCAAATCCGACGGGTCGTGCCGGTGGTAAGGGGATGCAATGGTTGGATGGTAAGTATTATGCGGGAGGTGGCAGCGGTTACATAGATACTGCAACCCCACCAAGTTATACGTTGGGAAGTGGGGTGTCTGGCACGGGTGGGGGTGGAAGCATAGCAACCCTATCTTGTTGCCCTTGGATTGTCTTTAATCAAGATGGATTTTCGGGTACCGTCGTGTTCAAGGCCCAGGGTTGTAGTCCGGGAAGCTACATCGCCGATGCGACCAGCAATGTGTGCGTGCAGTGCAGTGCATCTTCATGTGCAAGCGATCAATATCTTCAGGGATGCCAAGGATATCATCCAGGCGCCTTTAGAAAAAACTCATAACGTCGCGGAGCCCCACTGCAAACATACCCCCAGATCCCCTCCCACCTTCCATCTGAGGTCATGGAGAGGCTCATTGGCCTCCATCTAGACTGATCTGATACCTCCTTGTGTCATCCGACTCATATATATACTGAGGCGGGCCCGCAGGGCCCGCCTTAGAAAAAACTCATAACGTCGGGAGCCCCACTGCAAACATACCCCCAGATCCCCTCCCACCTTCCATCTGAGGTCATGGAGAGGCTCATTGGCCTCCATCTAGACTGATCTGATACCTCCTTGTGTCATCCGACTCATATATATACTGAGGCGGGCCCGCAGGGCCCGATTAGAAAAAACTCATAACGTCGGGAGCCCCACCGCAAACATACCCCCAGATCCCCTCCCACCTTCCATCTGCCGTGACCCGGCTGACAGGCTCACCTGACCGGTCACGTGACACATCACGTGACCGAGACAAGACTTTTTTATATCGCAGATCCAAAAACCCATAGGACATTTCTCCCAGGGGGAAGAAAACCTCCCTTGACCCCCCTGTTTCTCGACGGATCCTGCCGGCCGGGCCCGTCAGTAGACCGACTGCAGCCTTCAGCCCCGCCTCAGACCCCCTGGAGGCCCGCCAGGAGGCTAAGTGTCCGGAGATTGGCCGGGGGCCTGATCTCTCCGGGCGGCCGTGACCGGTCAGCGGACCGTGTCAGCAGGCCCGTGACATGTCAGCCGGCTGACAGGGGCCGTGACCCGGCTGACAGGCTCACCTGACCGGTCACGTGACACATCACGTGACCGAGACAAGACTTTTTTATATCGCAGATCCAAAAACCCATAGGACATTTCTCCCAGGGGGAAGAAAACCTCCCTTGACCCCCCTGTTTCTCGACGGATCCTGCCGGCCGGGCCCGTCAGTAGACCGACTGCAGCCTTCAGCCCCGCCTCAGACCCCCTGGAGGCCCGCCAGGAGGCTAAGTGTCCGGAGATTGGCCGGGGGCCTGATCTCTCCGGGCGGCCGTGACCGGTCAGCGGACCGTGTCAGCAGGCCCGTGACATGTCAGCCGGCTGACAGGGGCCGTGACCCGGCTGACAGGCTCACCTGACCGGTCACGTGACACATCACGTGACCGAGACAAGACTTTTTTATATCGCAGATCCAAAAGAGTATACTTCG